CTGCAAATGGGCACAACCCGGTGTCAGCTAATTACATAAATAATACGGCTAACATGCAAATTATATAATAATAATAATAATAATAATAATAATAATAATAATGATATAAAAACTGTCTAATTCATAAAACATTAAATTACCTTTAAACAAAGAAACATCTAACTCCGCACTGATTTTTTGTTCAATTAAGACCACACTACACTGCACTTCACCTCACTTCACTACGACCCTTTAATCACTTCATTATTTCTCTGTTCCACACTGCACGACACCTCACTTCACAATATATTACTTACTCGCTCTATAACCTACTATTCGCAGTTAAGAATCTCATTTACTTAGTGATACTCTAAATTAATTTCCTAAAATGTTGAACGCTACGAGGAAAGGGTTCAAAGGTTTTTGAAGATAATCTATTCCATTCCGTTATCGTTCGATTTGTGAAAGAAAATTTCCCGACATCCGTCCTCTGCGGTTTTAAATTTAGTTTGTGCCTCTGATCCTCCGATTAATTTCTTAATCCCCCACTTAACCGCCGATTAATTTCTTTCCAAGCGTGATTACCACAATAAGCTGTATACAAAGTGCAGAGTCTTGGTACTGTCCGCCTGTTTTCGAGTGAATCCCATCCTGCCATTTTCTTGTCTCGCCGTAACCGTGCGAGGTGCTAGGGAGAACACAGTCGAAATCGTCATTTTTGAGAGAACGATTTGATGCTAAGTATGTTGACAAGAGTGCAACTTCGCCTTCCGCCGTGTTTACAAGAATCGCTGCCGCTTCAAGCTTCACGAGGCGAGGCAAAGCTGCCGGGCGATTGGGCAACGAGCGACGTACGACAACCGCTGCACCACCTCCGCGATGGCGAGCATCGCGGTCGATAGCCTTGTTATTTAGCTCCAGGTTTACGGGGCTAATGAGTTTTGTTGCCTGTATGTGATGTACATGATACAGAATAACTCGATATTGCGTCGATCTCCTGGGTCCGTGTGACCGGAACGGCCGTTGACGTTCCAGGCAGGTACCGCGAGAGGGCGGGTTCTGGTATTTGCCTGCGTTCGATGATCATCCATTGCGGGCTGTCACTTGAGCGCCGAGAATTTATAAAAGTGTGGTTAGTTTCGAAACCTGCTGATTCAGCTGACGTCTCCGAGTTAGCATCAGGCGTGTTCTGTGGAGTGTCAGGGCGAACGGCTCTCTCTTGAATGCCCTTTTGGGCATAAGAGTTTGTCGCCGCCTTTGCCATCCGCACTGCTTGCGCAGGATGTTGTGAAGAGTGCGCCGCTTTCGCGAAGATAGTACTCTTATCTATCTTGCGTGTGGGCTGTGGTTTTTGTCGCTTCGGCTTAGCATCCTTGCTCTGCTTCGGCTTAACATCTTTGCTCTTGGTTGCTAAGGCCTTGTAGTTGGCGGAGTGGTTAGCGGAGTTAGTATTCGTTCGGGATACACCTACCATCCACAAATAACGGTGTGCGATAGATAAATTCTTCCTGTCCAAGTCGTGTCACAAGACATTGAAGATGTGTTTCCTCAGTTGCTTGCCCGCTTTCTTATTTTGGTGGGCTTTAATGCCCACAGTCCCACCTGGCGTGCCACACGGTCCTGTCCGAGAGGCAATATTCTTAAAAATGTTATTGACAACTAGAACAGAATTCTTCTGAATAGTGGCGAAAGCACAGATTTGTCCGTGGCTTCAAACACTTTCTCATCCGTTCATCTGGCTCTGCAAGCCATCTCTGTTTACCACCTTTGGGTGGGGCAGTTCTTGACGAGATCTGCATGGCAGTGACCACTTCCCTATTCTGGACAATTTCTATATCCCTGACCTGAACGTTTCCCGTTCCCGCTGGCTAACCTATCGAGCTGAGTGGGAAACATTCCAAAAAGAAATACGGATATCGGAAAACGGCGCAAACGATGCCGTTGCTATAGTTGCCCATTTTACTGATGCCGTTCTTCATGCGATCTTAATTGCAATCTCGGAGTCTTCGGGTCACCCACGACATTCTCCTGTACAATGGCGGAATGCCGACTGTGCCACCGCGGTGCGTGATCGGAAACGGACACCGGCAAAGCTTAGTAGGTTCCCAAACAGATGTAATGTGATAATTTATGCAAGATCCCGAGCCGGACTATACAGGAAAGGAAGGCCGCGTTCTGGAAAGCTTATATTTCATCACTCTCTTGCCGTATGTCCCATACAGTAGTGTGGCAAAGGTTCGGGAGATCGGTGGAAGACATCCTTCGCCGTCTGTCTCAGGGCCTCTGGTAAATGGAAATGTTCTCACCTCATCAGAAGATATAACTGAAGAATTCTTTTCACTACAAGCATATTTCCAGCTCCGTACACTACTGCCCTATCTTTCTAAACACCAAAAGAAGAATGGAGAACTACAGGTTAGATATCTCGAGTCGCGTGGTGGAAGGTTGCAGTTCTCCTTTCTCCGTGAATGAATTTTCCTAAGCCCTCGTTTGCGCCGAAGATTGTACTTCAGAAATAAACCAAATAAAATGATCAAATGCTTAAACACCTACCGGAAACGCTCGTTTGTTTCTCCTCCGCATTTACAACCTGATTTGGGTTGAACATGCCATACCAAGGATTTGGCGTAAAGCCATTGTTATTTCGATCCGTAAAGAAGAAAACTACAGAACAATCGCCTCGATCTACCACTCAATCTCACAAGCTGTGTGAGCAAGCTTTTTGAGCGAATGGTGAATCTCGTCTGGCTCTTGGAACAAAGGAACCTATTTACACCTTTTCAATGTGGTTTCAGGAAGCGCAGGTCAACCATGAAGCACTTAGTCTCCCTTACCACCCAAACTCCACTTCTTTCGTGCTACGACAACACCTTGTAGCAATATTGTCGACATAGAGAAAGCTTATGACACCACGTGGATGTTCGGCATTCTTCGCACCTTGCATTCTCGGGGCCTTAGGGGAAGGCTCCCTTTGTTTCTAGAAGATTTTCTTTCGTGAATATCTTTCGACGTCCGCCTTGGTGACACGTTATCCTCAAGCCTCCAGTTAGAAAACGGTGTTTCAGGGATCGATTGTGTCACTGTGTTTGCCATTGCTATTAATAGTATCGCATTAGTAATTCGAGAGCCTGTGAAAGCATCGCTCTTCGTTGTCATTACGTATTCTGCTCCTCGAAGACCATGCAAGTTATTAAGAGGCTTTGTCAGCTTGTCCCCAACAAACTGCAAGAATAGAGCGATATAACTGCATTCTCGTTCTCTACCTCAAAATCCAGTTGCATGCACTTCTGTAGAATTTATCACCTTCATAATCATCCTGATCTTTTGTGGGGGCTCATCGACATCCTTTCGTCGAATCCGCCACTTTCCTTGGCCTGACATTAGACAAGAGTTTAACATGGCGAAAGCATATCCAAAATTTGAAGAGCCAATGTGTATCACCATTGAACTTCCTTCGCACCCTTACTGGTAGATCATGTGGCGCAGACCGAGTATGTCTTTTGCGCCTAAATATGACCATATATAGATTATGGGTGTATTGTTTATGGATCAGCGACTCCATCGACCCTCCGGTCATTGAAAACTATACACAATGCCGCTATACGGATGAGCACAGGCGCCTAGCGCAAGAGTCCCATTGAATGTCTCTTGGTCGAAGATGGTGAACCACCTCTGTGCTAAAGGCGAGATATTGTAATTGGCTCCTATGGTGTGAAAGTTTCAGGACATCGTACGGACTCAGACCATCCTTACCCATCCCCCGGGTATCAGTCTCTACACGCTTGTGCAGAAACTCGATTTGCAGTAACAGTGATCTGCAGTAACTCAAAAAGCTCGCTCGAATCTATCTCCAGCTTCTGTTCTTGTTACACTCTGACAATGATCATCCAACACCAAATCCATCATTTATTGGTGCGTCGTTATATTTTTTGTTGGATCCCTGGCCACGTTGGGGAATAGGGAAGGAAATCGCTGACCAGGCAGGAAAACCTCGCCACGAAGGAAACTGAGGTAGACATATTCAGTCCCAACAAATGATACCGAGCTGTTTATCAAACGCTCTATTCTAAGTGCGTGGCAAACAGAGTGGCAGAACTCAGATTTTACACTCACGAGACTCCATGCTTCCGTATAACCTAGGTCATCCTGAACTCGTGGCTCTAGGCTCGAGATTATTCTGACACCCTTCTGATCGGTCATTGCTATTTCTCCCAGGGTGTCCCACCCCGTACTTGGCGGTAGTTGCGAGACGGATCTTACCGTGGAGCATGTTCTCCTGCACGGTAAGAGATAGCCGCTGAAGGCATCACCTTACTAGCTCTCTAGCAGAGATACTTAGTAACGTCTACTCTTCTCTCTGCAAGCTTTTTACAAGAGACTGTCATTTACAGCATTATCTGAGAGAAGAGGATTATACAAAATATTTGGCTTTTATTTAGATTTTGTACATGTTTATCTGGATCTTTTCTGCTAGACCTTTTTTAAATATAATTGAATACGCTTATTTTCAGTTTTTATTCACATTTTACTTTGCATTAAAAAGGTTTGTCTGCCTCTGCTGTAGTGCGTTCTGCCAATGACCTTAATTGTTGAAGCGCCCTTAATCGTTAATAATAATCATCTTCCTATGTGGAACCGAACCGCCAAGTTTGAAACAATTCGGCTGCTTCTTGGCGCAACTCGGTTTTTTTTTGCTTGTCTGTGTGTGTGTGTGTGTGTGTGTATATATATATATATATATATATATATATATATATATATATATATATATATATATGTTAGTTTCTTGTAACATTACAATTAAAATCCGTATTTAATTGATAAGTATAGTTTCACTGAATGCTTTGACACAATCGTAATTTTGAGGTTATATTTTTTCATATATCTTCACAACTAAAAAGATTCATGGTTTTACCCTGCATCAAATTAAATGGCTTTTCTAATCTTATAGTTCGTATTTAGCAAGTAAAATAATTTCTCATTGATGTACACTTGTATTCCCAATCATTTCTTTATTGCAGATAAAATGTTCTGATACCGCAACAGAAAATTTTCATATTGTGCAAGAAACTAATCCCATACAAGTGCAACAAGAGACGAGAACAGATTTTTCTTCGTGTACCTCCATTGGCGGTAAGACATTTTGTTTCGGGCTATATCACAAATGCTTTTATTATAAAACTATGCGCATTTATTATAAAACTATGCACAATTGCTTGTTTGCCAGTTGAATTGTTTATTTCAGAAACCCTGTAAGTGAACAATTGCAAATGCCCAGAAACAAAGGAAAACATTATCTTATATATTAAAACATTCATTAAAAATGAAGTATTGTTGTCTTCCATTGACTATAGCATTTTATTGAATTAGATGTTGTCTGTAATTGAATTATAATGATTTCCAAAATTTGTAAATTTAAAAATTTTGCATGTAGAAGGTTTCTATGATAGAAGAAGCTTTTACTGCAAAATTACAAATGCAAATTCAAGTTAATTTTGTACTATTAGGATTTTTTATGAAACAGACGTTTGTCTGCAGCCATTTCTCCAACCATTCACTGATTACATGAATGATTGAATATTTCTTTTCACCTGTTCAGTTTTAAACTGGTAAAACTCGAAATTATATATTTTTCACATCATTTCAAGAAACGTTAATCGCACCCTTTTTTATCTTCAAGCAGAATTTTGTCTGTCTGTTGGGGCACTCACAGTGTGATATAAAGAATGATAGGAGAATATAGTTGGGAAGGCTTCTTACCTCAGTTTTGGTTTACTTGGAAGAACAATAATTGTATCGCCACCAACCACAGAAAACACATCCTCTGTAATAATAAATTTGTCCTCAATAGTTATTTAGGCACCAAGGGCGCTATAAGGGTTTTAATGATGGCGGCGGCGATTGTGTTACGGTATCGAACTATTATACCCAGATTCGCGGGTTCAAACCCGATCGAAGCCGTGGATTTTTAAGGGCGCCATCGCACGCCTTTTTCTTTCAGAAGGGAAGTAAAGCCGTCTGTCCCATGTACATGCTGTAGATTTACTGCATGTAAAAGATCCTGAAGCGTAAATGAAGCCTCGGAGCTAAATTGAAAACACCTATTTCGTCGCCCAAGAAATACCTCCTTTCTCCGCTAGTTAGTGAAACGAGCGTAGCAAAATTTGCGTGGTTAGACGGAAGAGCAGGCCTCATGGCCTGATTCTCGCCATGTAAAATAAAGCCCGAGATCATTAGAACCAGCTAACGCCCGTGGTTCATACATAATTTTATTTTTTTACCTTATTTTATTGATTCAGATTTACTTATTTACTAATTAACTAGATGTTAACTTTACTCGGTTTGTCTTTTAATATTTGCCTCGTGTAGTGCATATCGAAGGCAATAACTAGCTGAAACGCAATCACAGAAAATATGCTATTAACTCACGACGATTAGTCACGATAAATAACTCATCCATCACTTCCACAGAGAATCACTTAATTCACATTCATAATTATAAGTAATTACATGAAATAGTCACAAACAGGATGCTATCATTTCCACCATGGTCTGAGTATTGCAGATGACCTTGGTACTGCTAATCAATTTGTGTAAATCTGTGCACATACAGTGTACTTCTACGCACTCAAAACCGACCTTTTGAAAGCCATTACATTTGTAAACAATACTTTGGGCCAACATGGTAGCTGGAATAGATTGCTTATTTCTCCAATGGTTGAACAGAATTAGGCGATATCAAGCCATAATGTTCAAAATGACACATTTTGAACATTTATTATATATGTTTGGGGTTCAGGTGTACTGAGGTAAGGATGAGGGGAGCAGTGTCTCTAATTCTATTAGAAGACATGTTTTCCCCTTTAGTGGATGAGTTGTTACAGGAGTGGGGGGGGGGAGTGTCATGTAAATCAAATTTATTTTTGGTACTATAGATAGAATTCATTCTGTTTCTTTTCCAATAAATGATTGTGATTATAAATGCTCATGCAACCATACGTACTTCAGATAGGTAAGACATAAAATAGTAGCTGCCTGAATTCTGCACAAAAAAATGTGTCTTCATTTGTAATATGAGATTCTAATTCTTTGACCAAAAATCTATAAAAATGTCTCTTATGGGTTTCTAAAATAAACAATAAGTTTTACAATATTTATTACTCACTAATTGATATCTTACCTTTGTCATGTTTATATTTTGCATTTGCTTCGCTACTAGTACTCTTAAGATTAGTTATGTAATGTTTCAAAATATGTATTTGCTCTTAACATTTTCAATCATTTTGTTACATTATGACAAACCTGCTTTGTTTCATTAACTTTTGCTTTATGTGATCTTAGATATGTAACTACTTTAGGACTTTGAACATCCATTAAATGCCCTTATGAATCATACATACTGTTCTAGTTCTGTATAATGGTTACAAGTGTAACCTTTTTATGAGCTCAGATATTTATGTAGAATTAAATGTCAAAATGTCCCATGAACAGAACAATGTTATGGAACTGATAATAAAACTAATACTATGACAAAAAAAAAGGTAAGTGATGAGAATGGATAAAAAACTGACTGATTCTACAAAATCAGATGTTTGTAGAATAAATGATTTTGAGCAAAATTGTCTTCCTGTGAAGCAGGAAATTGGACTGTGATTTAAGTCTACATATTTTTCCAAATTCTGCAAATATTGTAGCTTTATTTGGGTAATCATTCCTTTGAATTTCATTGTTCAGTAAGCAATTTAAAAAAAATTCTAGATAATTAAATAAATTAAGCAAATAAATATATTAAAGAAAAATTATAGTCAGCATGATTTGATATTTTTTATGTAGAAAGTTTCTACAACAGAAAAAACAAGTAAAAAATGGAAATGCCGACCCCAAAATATGCAGTTTAATGCATTATTGTAAGATATGAAATATCACCCTGAAAGTTTTATGCAGTGTACCTCAGATATACCAAAATGTGCTGAATAAAACTTCGAAATAAACATCTAGAGACTCCAATTAGGATAGAAAAAGAAAATTTGAGTTACTTTTAGCAGAAAAAATGAGTAATTGTATACAAATTTGTGCTCTAATTATATTGATTGAAATTGTTTTTCCGGCAGTTACTTGTTATTAATTCAAACTTCTAGTAGATAAGTCGGGACAGGTTAAGCAAATCAATATTTGGCTGTAGATCCTATTCATGGTGGTGTTAGATGTAATTTAATTGGTGCTAATTTAATTTTTACAGACATATCAAAACAGTGTTGGCCTCCTCTTCCATCTCACAACAGTATTGCTGCTTTTTCTCCTCACAGTTCATCCAGAACAATTTCATCTGAAGGAGGTGTAACATCTGTTAATGATTTTCTAGATGGAGTTGTTGATAAAACCTCCACTGCTGGAAGTGGAGCTTTTGCTGGTTATGCTCGTGCTGTAAGCATTGGTTTTCAACATTATAATGAAAGTACATTTTATAGTTCTACTCATTTTCAACCACGTGTTGGCCAGCAATTGTTGAGTAACTATCCTCAAAGTGTTGTGCAACAAGATACTGTTAGTTTTCATTCAAGTGGTGAGTGTAACAATGAGGAAGACAATTGCAATTGTACATTTCCATTAAATCATACTGTTAGAAATGAAAATACTCCAGATGTGCTAAGAACAATAAGAACTGACACTAATCAGTCAAATGGGAGGAAAGAAAATGGAGGCAAAATAGAAGATTCTTATGCTCCTGTTCATGTGTCAGAACCAAAAGCAACCCACCAAGGTTCCCGTTTGTATCAGTATTTCTCATAAACTGAGCTGTCATCATTCAGGAAGCATAAGCATTGTTTGGTTAGAATTTATTAATTTGTTTATGCACCTTAATTCCCCTTCAGTTGATGTGCCAGTGATGTATTATTAATGAGACTGTTCGTGATGTATGTATAAACTTTATCTGTGTATGTAAATATCCTTTTTGTGAGATGTACCTACAAACAAAATCACATGAAATTCTTTGCGTATTTTAAATATTATCTATTAAATACCATTAATACACAAGAACCAGTTTTATTTTTGTGTTACTGAAACTTAGTCCACTGTTCCTGTATAAAGGATAATATGTATATCCTACATAGGATTCGTTATTGGATTTAGCTACCAAAAAAAAGGGTAGGAAGTTTCCAGTTTTTTCAAAAATTTTTAATTTGGTATTTATAATCGTTATTGATCGTTTTTTCACCCTCTCTCTCTCTTTCATGTTTGTTTTATTAGTAAGGTTTCTTATTGTTACTGTAATGTGATTTATTAATGGCAAACCTTTACTGTGAATATTATACAATAGACCTAAGTGTTTTGTGCAGAAAATAAGTCCTCCACAGATTGAGTTGTGGCCTCAGCACAACTAATGTTTATGAAATTTATTATATAAATTGTAATATAAATCTCAAAAATTGTCTCCTAATCTTTTTTCTCCTGACAAATCTTGTGTATGTTCAGTGCCATTCATTGCAGTGCAAAATTACTATTTCAATAGTGTGTCATTCTGCAAGTGTGTGAAGTACAAAATCATCTGAGAAGTCTATCAAAACTTTACAGATTTGTTGACACATGTCATTCTTAAAGCTTATTCTGCAACAACATTAGTCTTTTTGGAATTGAAATACAGTTACATAACTTAAGAACATACAAAGTTTCAATAACAGAGATGATATAATACTTTGAGAGAGAATAAATCTGAGTGAAAATATATTGATAATCTAGGAAACTGTCAGGAAGAAAAAATGAACTACTTTGTTATAATGAATTACATTAGTTCTTTGAATATTTCTTTGTAGTGTTTACTTATCACAAAGGCAAGATTATATATTTAAAAAAAGAAAATAGTATGGGGCATTACACTTGTTGAGAGGTCATTATTTAAATAGATTAAGATGTTATTTTATGGTTCTGGAAGATGCTTACCAGTGGCAAACACAATAACTTTGGGTAGGCTAAAGTATGATTATCTACATATTATTTACCTTAAATTTTCTTATACAGAAAGTCCAAGCATCTGTTTTGCATGGTCACAAATTCCTCAATCGCACTGTCTTTAAAAGTTTTATCACCCGCTAAGTTTTTTAATAGATTTTTTCAATGGCAATTAAATTGAGAGAACTTATTCTTTCATTGACAATTCTTTACTCATTTGAGAGTACTCATACTCTGCTGAAGCTGTAGTTACTGCAAATATCATAATCAACTTAGCCAATTTCGTAACTTCCTTATAGATATTATGAAGATGATTTTCTACAATACTTCGTACTTCATAAGGTAAGTATTTTTTTGTGGTTGTAAATGTTTTTAATTCATTTTCCAGTCGATCTTTGTTGAAATATGGAAACAAGAAGTTGTGAAAAGTCCATTCAAATTTGGGGTAGAAAAATTTATGTTATAATTTTCAAACTGATGTTTGTCTAGTAACTCAATAAATTGCATATTTTCCAGATCTCTGAACTTGTTTCCGTTTGAGTGATTAATGTGCCTAAGATTCCATAAGCCTAGAGTTTTAAAGATTGGAAATTTTGGTGAATATTACTTAAACAATTAAAAAATATTTCACTCTGTTCAAGACAATAAGTCTCAGGTTTTCTGATCCCATGTTTTTAAATGTGCCGATGGCCTTTTTACCCTAAGAATTGCACTTACTTACATCTTATAAATTTTGTTGAAGTAGAAGCTCAAAAAAGATGGTCAATATATATGAGCATGTCTTTATAAACACAAAGAAGGAAAAGGAATTGTTTGTTGTGCAAGATATTTAAGAAGCCAGAAGTGCAGTTGAAAGACTCAGGGTTCCAGACTTTATCATAGTCAGTGATATTTTGGAAAATGTCTTTCATATCATTGAATTTTGTGTAGATAATTTGAACAGCTCTAGAATTAAAATTCCAATACATAGGCTAATGCATGTTTGATGTAGTCTGAATCCTTTACTCTCCAAGAGTTGTGTTCATTTTAAAGTCTTGCTGAAAATTGTTTGGAAAGCAACAAGATTATAGATAAGAAGCCTAACTTGTTTGATATTTTTCGAGCAATGTAACGTTACTATATATAGTTCATGAGTGTAACAACGTAAAAACTCAGCTCAAGGTCATATTTTTTTTAATAAAATGTTGAACATCACCTCGATCTCCTGCCAAAACGGCGGCCCCATCACATGTTTGGCTTACAAATTTGTCAGTAATGTCGTAAGAATGAAACACATTTATAATAATTTTTGATAGTCCAGAGGAAGTTTTGTCTCTCGAAACATCATAAAAACCAATAAATCTTTCCTTGGGACCTTGTTCTGTACAGAATCTGACAGTTATACTCATTTGTGATTTAAAAGAAGCATCAAGTTTCGTCTGCTTGGACACCAGCAAACTCACAAGAACACTATTTGTCCTTAATACAATCATTCATTACTTCTGTGAATGATTCAATAAATTTATTTTGAATAGTACTTGTACTTTGGAAACTGAAAGTGTTCTCCAGATGGTCACGAATTGTTTAGTTTAGATAAAGGTTCCAATAATTCAAGATAATTTCCTTTATTGTCAGAAGTTTCATCTTCAGTATGTCCTCTAAAAACTAGTTCCGGTTTTCCTAAAAAAACATACAACATATATGTCTCTCGACTACTAATTTGATTCATTAGTTCATTATGCTTAATAGCTAGAAACTTGGCTTCTTCGGTAATAGTGTGATGACCCATTATATATGCATTTGGTATCAAAACAGGAACAGAATGGCACAGACTTTCCTGCATTAGTTTTCTATTTCCTGTGATCTCGGCTAGCTATTCGAACTTGCCACATACTCTTACCTGCTGCCATCTATCGCCGCCCATAGTACATTTTTTTGAAAATTTCTTAATTTTTTGGTTTCGTAATAGAATGTAAATATTATTTTAAGAATATTAAAGAATAGTAAAACCTCATCTTAATGGCAATTTTCTTTGAAATTTTTTTTAAAAACTAGCGTTTAAGCGTGCCTGTAAATTCGAAATTTAAAGTTGTTTTTCTCACTGAAAATATTTGAGCTTTCTAAAAACTTAATTTGAAGTCGTTTTAAGTACTTTAACTCACAAATACAATAGTGTTTACAAATTGCTAGAAATGTGCATATCAATGGCGTGAAAGATCTTTCAAAAATATACATTTGTCTAATTTTTGAAAAAATACACTGAAGTCAACTTTACTTCATATTAAAGAGTGCAATTACCACAATCCGTTCGAAATGTTTGAAGAAAAAAATTTGGAGCCGTTTTTTGAGAAATATTGCGTTTGAGCGTTTCTGAAATTGCGGAGTTTTGAGCTAGTTTTCACAGAAAATGGTAGAGTTTTCGAGAAACTTTGTCTGACATTATTTAAAGTACATGTACTCATGAATAAAATGATGTGAACAAATTGCCGCTAGTAAAAATATTAACGACATGAGAGGGAAGTCAAAAAATACATTTTTGAAAAAAAACAAATGAATAGAGCAATATGGCGTTTATGTCATCTTATAGACAACATTTAGCACTATCCCTACCAAAAGTTTAAAGAAAAAATTTGTAGTCGTCTTTCAGGAAATCTTGTTTTTGTAATTTTTTAAAATTTGTTCAATTGCATGCCATATTGCTCGAAAATTACTAGGATTTTCAAAAACATTTTACCTGACCTTAATGAAAGAACTCACTATGGAGAACAAATTTTATTTCAAGGGAAAATCTCTATCTTTAATTTTGTAGTTGTAGGAAGACATCGAAAAAAAATCATTTTTTGAAAAGTCAGAGTTAATAGTGAAATTCGGAACTATGCCCCCTTTATAAATCGATGTTACTCTAATTACATTATTAAGAAATTTAAAGAAAAAATGGAGCTGTTTTTGAGAAAATTTTGAAAATATCCGGGGGCTGAATGTAAACTGCACCCAAATTTTAAAGATTTTTTTCTTCAAAATCTCCAAGATTGGACTCGAGCCAGATCGACACGGATTTCTTCAATTTGGAAAATATCTTACGCATAGTTAAGGCGCTAGTAGTGTTCACAGACACCAGACTGACGAACAGACAGACGGACGTCCTGGGGGGAAAAAAAGCACTTTTTCGATATCAGGGGACCCCAAAGGGTATTTCCGTCGAAATCGATTTTCCATTGCATTACGTAACTTTCCATATACTACGTATATTACTTCGTATATACGTACGTATGCGGAAAGTCAAAAGATTATGCATTTAATTTAGTGAATAAATGATTAAGTGTTCTCAGTTTGTGCCATATAATGTAAACTAATACATTAAAACGCTCACATTTAATTTTGGAGGAACTTTTCTCCCGAATCTCTGGAATATTTCGGCCGTAAAAGAAACATTTCACCAGCAGTCCTGCCCACGTGCAGAGGTTAGTCTCAGAGACGCGCTTGGTTACCCAGCTCGAATTGCGATTCTCGACTCCCTACACCTCAGCACGGAGACTATCGTCACTAAGTCTCACAAAGGAAGAGGAGGAATGCGATAGACCACAGCGCGTATAAAAAATTCCGAAGGAAGAATCTGCAAAATAGAGTATTTCAATACTCAGTAATTTATTATTTGTATTTTGGAAATTAGAATTTAATTTTTCAAATATTTGGGTAGGCTAAGAATCTTAAGCGCTTCGCCACAGGTACTTATGGGAAGTGAGAAGACGGGTAGAAAGTACAAGAGCGCATAACTCTCACTTTCAGTTTCCATCTCTCCCTCTTCCTCCTTTTCTCTATTTAGGGTTTCAAATTTACGTTTTGTTTGCCCACCCCCACAAACACACAGTCAACTTCGTATGTCTTAATTGCATAAGTTACTTGAAGCTACCAGCCTTCTCTCATTCAAATAAATGTAAAACATCCCTGTCTTAGCATCATAGGTTTCCACGGCCGGAGTCAATATAAGAGAAATTTTCCGGGCTGGTAGGCCATGGATAAATTGGCATTGAATGGCCAAATGCTTCGCCCGCGGCTACGGTGGACATCTTGAGTAGCGGTAGGGTCGCGGGCGCAGTGATGGGGGCGGCTCATTTCTCCTCTCTAGTTACCCTGGAAAAGCGGGAATTTATTCAATTATTGGGACTACAGGAATTGCTTCAGTCGATTAGTCTTGTGAAGCTTGAGGAGGGTTTTTTTCTTAAAAAGACACACTTAATATAACTTAAAATTAATATTTACATGCCTCTTTGGGCGTAGTGCAGCCACGACTTTCATAGTTGGCGGGAGCGGGCGCGGCAGTGGGAATTTCGCGCTCTAGCTTGCGATTGGTTGATGGTTCGCGGGCTGGATTCTGGTTGGCTATCGATTGCTCCGTGGCTAGCTTGAGCAAGTCTGCCCTTATATGGTTTTCTATTGGTGTTGCAGAGTACGGGATACCAGATAGAATTAATTTCTTGCCCTTCTTCTTTCCTGTTGAATTTATTGGGACGTTTAAAAATCTGAATAGCTTCCCGTTGTAATCTGGAGTGGTAGTGGTTGGTGATATTTCAGTGTCTGCGAGCAGGATGTCATGTTCTCTTCTCGAGAGGGCATGTTCAGCCACCGC